GGCCAGTGTAGACAGCTCAGGACTGTTTTGCGCAAAAAAGCCATGATGGCGAAAATGGCAATCGGGGCTTCCTTGCACAAAACTGCATCTAGATTGGCACGGACGCTTTTCCACAAAAAGGGCTTTTCCGCAAAAGTGTCTGTGCCAATCTAGACACACTTTTCCGCAAATGCTTTTAACGGAAAATCTTTTCCGTTAAAAGCATTTGCGGAAAATCATGCCAGTCTAGATGTAGCCCTGATGTCTAGATCCATCCAGGTGAAGAGGTAAAGACACTGTGGGGAAGAAATGTGTGACATTGGTACAGACCTGAAAGTGTGAAATAGTCACAAGTAGCAGCCAGTATCTATAAGCAATAGTGTTCAAAGCACTTTCCACCTGAGTGTTAATATAATCCACTGTCTTAATATAATACTTGTGTTGAAAGGATTTGCCCAATAATTCCTCATAGGGGAGTAGTGATTTCGAGAGAAGAGTCCAAATCTCATATTGCATCGGGGATGTTGTGGGTCGCTGTGATTCTGAGCTAAGCTGCAGCAGGGGAACTCCATTCTAACTTCAGAATTATTGGCATGTCCCTGGAGTTATACCAGTACCAATGAGAGATGAGTCTGGCCCAGGGTACCTACCCCAACACTGGGACATGACCGATGGAGACATTGGGAAAGGTGCCCAACACAGGAAGTGGAATACACTCATCTCATTCTAATATCATGTTAAAAAGACCTCACGGGAGACATGGCACTACACAGGGGCTGATGCTCTGGCCCTCTGGGGCTATGTCTAGACTGCAAGCCTCTTTCGAAAAAGAGCGTCTAGACTGCAAGAAGTACTTTCAAAATAGCAAGCCGCTTTTTCAAAAGAAAGCAGCGAGTCTGGATGCTCTCTTTCTAAAAAGCCCTGTTGGCATTCAAGAACGCCTTTTTTCGAAAGAGCACTTTCGAAAAAAGGCGTTCTTCCTCGTGCAATGAGGTTTACCGCCGTCGAAAGAAAAGCCGCGTTCTTTCGATTTAATTTTGAAAGAACGCGGCTGCAGTCTAGACGCAGGTGAAGTTTTTTCGAAAAAAGGCTACTTTTTTCGAAAAAACCTCTGAGTCTAGACACAGCCTGGGTTCCATTTCGCACAGAAAACCATGGCAACCACAGGCATTGCATGGGCTCTGCACAGCTGGTCTCCTGGGAGCAAAGTTCTCCATGGAGCAACACTCAAAGCCAACAAAGCCGAATGTAACAACTTCTACCTCAGGCAGAGAGGTACCACCAAGTCATGGGCACAGGGGCCAGTTTGAGAGCATTTTGGTGGTTGAATGAAGCGGAAGTGAGCCCTTCATAGAATCACAGAATCTCAGAAATTGAAGGAATCTGGAGAGGTCACTCAGCCCAGCCCCCTGCAATTGTGGCAGAAGCAAGTACCATCCTCGGGAGGTGTGTGTCTCACCTGCTATTTAACATTTTCCAGTGAAGTATATTCCACAATCTCCCTGGGCAATTTATTTCAGTGTTTAACAACCCTGACATTAGGAACTTTTTCCTACTTTCCAACCTAAGCCCCCCTTTGCTGCAACTGAAGCCCACTGCTTCTTGTCCTATCATCAAAAACGAAGGAGAATCATTTTCTCCCTCCTCCATGTGATAACATTTTATGTTATGGAAAGCTGTTATCATGTCCCCTCTCAGTCTCCTCTATTCCAGACTAAAATAATTGAGACCTTTCAATCTTCTCTCGTAGCTCATGTTTTCTGGACCATTAGTCATTTTTGTTGCCCTTCTCTGGACCTTCTCCAAAGTCTGCACATTTTTCCTGATATGTGGTACCCAGAACTGAACATGGCTCAGGCCTAATCAGTGCAGACAAGAGCAGAAATATCACTTCTCATGATCCTTTGATAGCCACTCTCTGGCTACGTCTAGACTGGCATGATTTTCCGGAAATGCTTTTAACGGAAAAGTTTTCCATTAAAAACATTTTCGGAAAAGCTCCTCTAGATTGGAAGGACGCTTTTCTGCAAAATCACTTTTTGCGGAAAAGCGTCCGTGGCCAATCTAGATGCGTTTTTCCGCAAAAAAGCCCAGATCGCCATTTTTGCAATCGGGGCTTTTTTGCGGGAAACAAATCTCTGCTGTCTACACTGGCCCTTTTGCGCAAAAGTTTTTCAGAAAAAGACTTTTGCCCAAATGGGAGCAACATAGTATTTCTGCAAAAGCACTGACAATCTTACATGAGATCATCAGTGCTTTTGTGGAAATTCAAGCGGCCAGTGTAGACAGCTGGCAAGTTTTTCCGGAAAAGCGGCTACTTTTCCGGAAAAAGTGGCCAGTCTAGACACAGCCTCTGTGAACAGTTATCCAATTACTTATGCAGCCACCTTATAGTAGCCCCATCTAGGTTGTGGATACCTAGTTTATTAACGAGAACGTCATACAGGACTGTATCAAATACTTTATTAAAATCTAGGTGTAGCCTATCTACCACTTCCCTCTCATCCACAAGGCCTGTGATGGGAAGAAAGGAATTACCCTGAGAGGACACTTTTTAACTTTACCAATTCCAAAGTGTTATCTGAGGTGGGAGAGGAGTGACAGGGAATGTCTACACTAACGTCTCTACAATGACTCAGCTATGCTGCTACAGCAGCACCATAATGTAGATGCTTTTCACATGGATGGAATCTACATCCACTCCTCTGAAGGCTCTAGTGAGGCCAAGGGATAAATAACTCATATGACGTGGGACTATTTTTCCAGCTTTATGTGACAGAACTTGGTTGATTTAATTTTTAAGCGTAAGCAAGACCTAAGAGGTTCTAATGATGGAAACAACCATTTGGTGCTCATTTCATTTTGTTGACACCTTGCTAAGGGCACCAATTTGCATTTTGTCTCTGAAGAACTGTTTTGTCCCCACTTTAATAAGCTTGGAACAGCTTATTGATGTTATTAGAGTATCAGAGGGGTAGTCATGTTAGTCTGAATCTGCAAAAGCGGCGAGGAGTCCTGTGGCACCTTATAGACTAACTGAAGTGTTGGAGCATAAGCTTTTGTGGGCAAAGACCCACTTTGTCAGATGCATGCAGATGGGTCTTTGGTGAATCTGAAAAAGGTTGGATTATAGCATAGAATTAGGGAAACGGTCACCACTTTCTTACATACCATGAGAAGCAAAATGTTCTATTACGAGGAGCGGTGGGTTAACACTTGCTATTGTGGGAGTCTGGCCCATGGAAGAGAGTGCGGGCATGTGGTATCTGAGGGTATGTCTACACTGCCACCCTTGTTCGAACTAGGGTGGTTAATGTAGGCATTTGAACTTGCAAGTGAAGCCCGGGATTTAAATAACCCGGGCTTCATTTGCATGTTCCCGGGCACCGCCATTTTAAATGCCCTGTAGTTCAAACTACCTGCCCGTGGCTACACGTGGCATGGACTAGGTAGTTCGAATTAAAGCTCCTAATTCGAATTACCGTTAAACCTCCTTGCAGGCTTCATTTGCAAGTGTGAATGCCTACATTAGCCACCCTAGTTTGAACTAGGGTGGCAGGGTAGACATACCCTGAGGGACCCCATGGTATTTCTGCATTGTAATATCAAATTTTCAGCCATGAGCTTTCAGTATCCACTAATAACAAACCAATTAAAACTTTTTCGATCAGCTCTACTCAGAAAATAGGTTGAATTGAACACAGCAGGATGAAATTAACCCTAACCTCAAACTCCATAGATCTGTGAAGAAATTGCATCATTTAATAACACAGGAGAAAAGACGGGGCCAAATTAATCCTCAAAGCATGAGCTATTCTTCAACTCACTGAGCACACTAATTAGATGTTGTTTCTCTCTGAGCATAGATTTCCCAGTTGCTTATGAGATCAAGTCTCATAGATCACACATCTCAGTATAAAACCTCCTGAATTCTTCAATCTGGCAGTGTCTGTTGATGGGGAAACACCACCTTATGTCTCTCTTCAGCAGGTACGTGCTGTTATCCTGCACCACAGACACACATGCACATAGACCATGGTGATCAGTAGGTTTTGATTTCAAGACCTCGAGCGCTAAAAACCTCAGCCCCAACTCCAACCTTCTGAGTTAAAGGAGCAACCTCGTGTCTGGGAAAAATAGTCAGTTTCCTAGTCACGGAAGCAAGTGCATTGCATTATGTCTCTGGGGATGTGTCTCTAGTCTACGGGATTTTTTCCGAAAAAGTTGGCCTTTTTTCAAAAACACTTCCCCTTCATCCAGACTACCGCCGTGTTCTTTTGAAAGTAAATCAAAAGAACGCAGCAGTTTTTTCGACTGTGGAAAACCTCATTTTAGGAGGAAGAACGCCGTTTTTTTGAAAGCGCTCTTTTGAAAAAAGATGCTATGTAATGGAAACTGTGCTTTTTCGAAAGAGATCATCCAGGCTGCCTGGGTGCTCTCTTTCGAAAAAGTGGCTCGCTTTTTCAAAAGTACTGGCTGTAGTCTAGATGCTGTCTTTCGAAAGACGCTTGTAGTCTAGGCATAGCCTAGGGGTTTCCATACAGATTAATGTAAATGCCATTTTTAGATGCCATAAAGCTTAATTAGCAGAGCACACAAGCTTTCCCCCAAACCGCCATGATAAGCCACAGAGCTCCCCTTACCCAAAGAGGGTAGAAAGATTGACACTCATTAACTCTCACCACTTCACAAACTAAGGAATAATCTCTGCAGTCTGAGATAGTTTCACCCTGATTCTCTCACAGCACTGACATGAATTACTATTTGCTGCTCGGAATGGTGAACAGGCATGTTCTGTGTGGGAGGGTGATTAACCTGTGTGTCCTTGTATTTGTACAGTGTGTGCATTGTCAGAATAACCAGAAAGACCAGCTGTGAACCTCTGACTTTACCCTTCCCTGATCAGAAACCTGTGTCCATTAAGAAGCAAATGTCTCTTCTCTTTCTTCATTACCACTAAGCGATAGGTTGCTCAAGACATCAGCATGTCCCTGTAGCTGCCTGATCTCTGCTCTGAGGAGATGGAAAGGGGAAATCACTCGGTGGTGACTGAGTTCATTCTCTCAGGACTGACAGATCGTCCAGAGCTGCAGGTCCCTCTGTTTGTGTTGTTCCTGTTGATTTATGCTGTCACCATGATGGGAAACGGGGGGATGATCTTGTTAATCACGATTGAGACCCGACTTCACACCCCCATGTACTTTTTCCTCCGGAGTTTGTCTTTCTGTGATCTCTGCTATTCCTCGGTAATTGTTCCTACTCTGTTGCTTAACTTCTTAGCAGAGAGGAAAAGCATTTCTTATACTGCTTGCGCTGTGCAAATATACCTCTTTGTCTCTTGTGCAGATACCGAGTGTCTGTTGCTGGCTGTGATGGCGTATGATCGTTATGTGGCCATCTGTAACCCACTGCTCTATACGGTCACCATGCCCCGGCAGCGTTGTAATCAGCTGGTGGCTGCCTGCTATGCTGTGGGCTTGGTGGATTCAATGCTACTCACATGTCTTACATTTCGACTATCATTCTGCCGCTCCAATGTCCTGAATTACTTCTGCTGTGACATCCCCCCTTTGCTGATGCTCTCCTGCTCTGACACCCAGATCAATGAGATTGTGCTGTTTGCTTCCATGTGCTACATTATGATGGGCAGCTTTGTGATCATCCTCCTGTCTTATGCCTGTATCATCTCCAGCATCTTGCGGATCCGCTCTGCCGAGGGCCGGCGCAAAGCCTTCTCCACCTGCACTTGTCACTTGATCACGGTTGTTATCCTTTACGGCACTCTCCTCTTCATGTACTTCCGTCCCACCTCCAGCTATTCCCTTGCCACGGACAAAGTAGCCTCCGTGTTCTACACAGCAGTGATCCCCATGCTGAACCCCCTCATCTACAGCCTGAGGAACAAGGAGGTGAAACACGCCCTGAACAAAGCATACAATAAATACCTCAGCAATCTGTGAATATTTTTTTCTAAGAGCTATTTTAGTGATGAAGAGAGGAAAAACAGGCTAATTCAGTTCCAAGCCCATTCAATGTCATTTCACAGGCTGCATAGCCATCGCGTTCATTAATATATTGTTCTTATTATGCTCAACTTCATGTCTCTGTTCCAGTGGTTATTGTGTTAGTTGCCCAAGATAGAACAAGTTTGAAAAGCAAGATTGAGAACAACCCAGACTGGAATAATGTATATTCAGGGGCTGTGGTTCTTTATGGAAAGGCAGGAAACCCAAGGACAAATCTTTGTCCAGCCCTGGTCTGAAGCGGGAATTGAAGTTGGATCTCCCACCTCAAAAAACTGATTGAACAGGGTCAAAATTACAAAGAGAGGATGTATCGCTGCCTGCTACCTTTCTCCCTCCCTGCTCTTGCTCCCTTTCTCTCTACTCATGGCATCAACAGCATCTGAAGGAAGTGTTGGAAAAGGGTTCTGACTGGAAGTCATCCAGCCAGTAAGACTGTAAAAGCAGGTGATGAGAGAAATCTTCAATTTTAACTTATTTAACTTGTTAAGTTAGGGTATGTCTACACTACCCCCCTAGTTCGAACTAAGGGGGTAATGTATGCATACCGAACTTGCTAATGAAGCCCGGGATTTGAATTTCCCGGGCTTCATTAGCATAAAGCCGGCGCCACCATTTTTAAAAGCCGGCTAGTGCGAACCCCGTGCCGCGCGGCTACACGCGGCACGGACTAGATAGTTCGGATTAGGCTTCCACGAGGAGGCGTACAGATAGTTCAGATTAGAAGCCTAATCCGAACTATCTAGTCCATGCCACGTGTAGCCGCGCGGCACGGGGTTCGCACTAGCCGGCTTTTAAAAATGGCGGCGCCGGCTTTATGCTAATGAAGGGGGGGATTTAAATCCCCGCTTCATTTGCAATTGCGATGTGTCTAATTTTCATCCCTTTTACGGAAAAGGGATGCAGTCTAGACACAGCTAAAGTGTAATACATTCATGTCATCCAAGTACCATCTTAAAAGGACCTCATAGGAGACACAGCACTGCACACTGGCTGGTGCTCTGGTCCTCTGGGTTCCATTCCCATGTGGAAAGCCATGGCAACCACATTAATTGCATGGGCTCTGCACAGCCGTTCTCCTGGGAGAAAAGATGCTTCAGGGAGCAAATCTCAAAGCCATCAAAGCCAAAAGTTACACATAGTTTACGAGACAATCCTGAAGAGACAGAATTTAAATGTGTATGTTAATGGAGGAAAGTTTATATACCAGGTATCTAAAAAGGGTGTCACAAGGCGGAGGGAGAAAACTTGTTCTTCCTGGCCTCTGAGGATAGAATAAGAAGCAATGGGCTTAAACTGCAGCAAGGGAGGTTGAGGTTGGACATTAGGAAAAACTTCGTAACTGTCAGAGTGATTAAACACTGGAATAAATTGCCCAGGGAGGTTGTGGAATCCCCATCTCTGGGGATATTTAAGAGCAGGTTAGATAAATGTCTATCAGGGATGGTCTAGACAGTGCTGGGTCCTGCCATGAGGGCAGGGGACTGGACTCGATGACCTCTCGCGGTCCCTTCCAGTCCTAGTATTCTATGATTCTATGATTCTTTTAAATGACTTGTCACCTTAGCACAAGGGCCAGGCAAGTTTTACTATAAGGGCTTAAACTGCAGCAAGGGAGATCATCCAGTACAGCTTGGTGGGAGTGTTATGCTTATAAGAAGCACGCCGGATCTTTTTCATGGGAAAAGGCAATACAATCCAGATCTTTTTCATGGGAAAAGTACAATATTTATTGAGAATACAGTAGAGAAGCAGTTAGCATATGCTTTATAAAGACAAACCCACATACACACACAGGTCCTGCACACGGTGCATGGTTACCAGGCCATGGTGGCTCAAATAAGTCTTACTGGCCAGACAAGACTGCCTGAGCGAGGAGTCGGGGTTGCTCTGATACTCCTCTGAGGCTTAGCTAGCAGAACTGAACCCAGAGTACTATGGCAAGAGCCCCCCTTCTTTTACATGTAAGTTCCCATGGGAGTCTATGGGTTTTGTAGTGTCATGCTGCAATCATCCATCCTTAGAAGGCGTTAATCTGTGTTCTCCAGATTTGTCCTTTGATGGTGATTGTCCGACTGCCCATCATTGTCTCTCACTCTTGGGGGGGGGGTGTCTCTGCCTGTCTCCAGGGTTCATCAGTGCTGCTAATTCAATTCAGCCTCAAGACGCAATGGCTGTTTCCTCATTATCTTCAGAGTTTCCACTTTTTCTTGATTCCTCTGGGCATCTGTGATGGCTTTCCCACTTACACAACTCCTCCACTCACACCACACAACTGTACAGAGTTTCAGACAAGATCAATAGTTACTAGAAGACACAACTTAATTTGTGATGCAGACGATGGCTGCGTCTAGACTGGCAAGTATTTCCGCAAAAACAAGCGCTTTTGCGCAAAAACTTGCCAACTGTCTACACTGGCCGCTTGATTTTGTGCAAAAGCACTGACGTTCTACAGTCTGAAATCAGTGCTTCTTGTGCAAATGCTTTGACGTTCCCGTTCAGGCAAAAGCCCTTTTCTGGAAAAGTTTTTGCACAAGAGGGCCAGTGTAGACAGCTAAAAACCGTTTTGCGCAAAAAAGCCCCAATGGCGAAAATGGCGATCGAGGCTTTCTTGCGCAAAACCGCGTCTAGATTGGCACGGACGCTTTTCCACAAAAAATGCTTTTGCGGAAAATCTAAACGCTCTTTTCTGCAAATGCTTTTACCGGAAAAACTTTTCAGTTAAAGGCATTTGAGGAAAATCTAGACATAGCCAAGGGGTACAATCTGAAGGGAGGTTCTAAAGAGGATGGAGAAAGGCTGTTCTCAGTAGTGACGGATGGCAGAACAAGGAGTAATGGTCTCAAGTTACAGTGGGGGAAGACTAGGTTGGATATTAGGAAAAACTATTTCCCTAGGCAGGTGGTGAAGTACTGGAACGGGTTACCTAGGGAGATGGTGGAGTCTCCATCCCTAGAGGTTTTTAAGTCTTGGCTTGACAAAGCTCTGGTTGGGTTGATTTAGTTGGGATTGGTCCTGGTTTGGGCAGGGAGCTGGATCTGATGACCTCCGTAGGTCTCTTCCAGCCCTATGATTCTATGATTCTAAATGAATTTGTCTTTCATGATTAGATAATGTTTACTGCAGCATTACAGAGAGAAATAGAAGAATACAGAACTTATAAGCAAGCCATTATGCATGAAATCATTACAAATCACACTTATAACCAATACTAAAATATACATTTTTGCTACAGGAGAGGGCTATAAACAGAGGAAAATGGCTACAGAGGAAGATGGCTATTTGACCTAGGATCAAAAAACATTTAAAGTCACACTCCCTGTTAATTATCTCTTATGTTAGTCTTCTTTCTTCCATAACATTTTACAAAATATATACAAGATAATCCTTAACTTGGGTGCCATGGTGGAACAAATCAGAATAAACACACACACCCTCAATATTGATAGAAATGTAGCCGTGTTAGTCTGGTGTCGCTGAAACAAAAAACAGGACTATGTAGCATTTTAAAGACTAACAAGATGGGTTATTAGGTGATGAGCTTTTGTGGGCCAGACCTACTACCTCAGATCAAATAGTGGAAGAAAATTGTCACAACCATATATACCAAAGGATACAATTAAAAAAAATGAACACATATGAAAAGGACAAATCAAATTTCAAAACAGGAGGAGGATGGGGGGAAAGGTAAATGTCTGTGAGTTAATGATATTAGAGATGATAATTGCGGAAGCTATCTTTGTAATGGGTAAGATAATTAATGTCTTTGTTTAAGCTTAGGTGTAAAGTATCGAATTAAGCATGAATGACAGTTCAGCGGATTATCTTTCAAGTATAGTCTTAAAAGGTCTTTGAAGCAGGATGCAGGTAATCATGTCATTGAGACAATGTCCTTTCTAGTTGAAATGGCAAGAAACTGTTTTTTCTTTGTGATCCTGTCTAATATCTGTTTTGTGGGCACAAGACAAAACTCACTTTGCTCATGGATGGAAAATACAAGAGAGAACATTTTTGTTTCCCATGTTCTAGAAGCTGGAGCAGTGGGCTAGCATTTGGTGATGGAAGAATTGGTGCTATGTGATATCTGAGGGACCCTGTAGTAATTCTGCATTGTAATATCAAGTTTTCAGTCACAAGCTTTTGGTATCCACCAACAACGAACAAAATCAACTCTTTTTTGATCAGTTCTTCTCAGAACCCAGCTTGAACTAAAAACAGCAGGATGAAATTAACCTAACCTCAAATTCCATATCTGTGAGGAAAGTGCATTATTTAATAACACAGGAGAAAAGAGTGGGCCAAATTAATCCCCAAAGCATGAGCTACTCTTCAACTCACTGAGCACACTAATTAGATGTTGTTTCTCTCTGAGCATAAATTTCCCAGTAGATTATGAGATCACGTCCCATAGATCACAAATCTCAATATAAAACCTCCTGAATTCTCCAACCTGGCAGAGTCTGTCGCTAGGGAAACGCCACCTCATGTCTCTCCTCAGAAGGTATGTTCTGTTGTCCTGCACCACAGACACACACACATAGACCACAGTGATCAGCAGGTTTTGATTTCAAGACCTCGAGCACTAAAAACCTCAGCCCCACCTCGCTGGTGGAGAAAAATCGGCAGTTTCCTAGTCACCGAGCTGGTGTATTGCTTCATGTCTCTGGGTTTGCACACAGATTAATGTAAATGCCATTTTTGGATGCCAGAAAAGCTTAATTAGCACAGTAAAAGCTTTACCCCAAACTGACATGCCAAGCCACAGAGCTCCCCTGGCCCAAAGACGGTAGAAATATTGACACTCGCTAACTCTCACCCCTTCATGAGGTAAGCAATAATCTCTACAGTTTGAGATAGTTTCGCCTTGATTCGCTCATGGCAGTGAAATGAGTTACTGTTTGCTGCTCGGAATAGTGAACAGGCATGTTCTTTGTGGGAGGGTGATGAACCTGCATGTTCTTTTATGTGTACAATGTGTGCATTGTATGGCACATCTGGAATGATCAGCTGTGAGCATCTGGCTCTGTGCACTTAATTCTTTTCTGATGTGGTAGCAATGTCCATTAAGAAACTGATCTCTCCTCATTTTCTTCATTACCACAGCGCGATAGATTGCCCAGCATATCAACATGCCCCAGTAGCTGCCTGCTCTTTCCTCAGAGGAGATGGAAGAGGGAAATCACTCGGTGGTGGCTGAGTTCATTCTCTCAGGACTGACAGATCGTCCGGAACTGCAGGTCCCCCTGTTTGTGTTGTTCCTACTGATTTACATTGTCACCATTGTAGGGAACGGGGGAATGATCTTGTTAATCACGATTGAGCCCCGACTTCACACCCCCATGTACTTTTTTCTCCGGAGTTTGTCTTTCTGTGATCTCTGCTATTCTACAGTAATTGTCCCTAAGATGCTGCAGCATTTCTTAGCAGAGAGGAAAAGCATTTCCTACACTGCCTGTGCTGTGCAAATATACCTCCTTGTCTTTTTTTCAGATACTGAGTGTCTCTTGCTGGCTGTGATGGCATATGACCGTTATGCAGCCATCTGTAACCCGCTGCTCTATACAGTCACCATGTCCAGGTGGCGTTGTAACCAGCTGGTGGCTGGGTGCTATGCTCTTGGGGTGGTGGATGCATCGATACTCACTTGTTTTACATTCCGATTGTCATTCTGCCGCTCAAATGTCCTTAATTATTTCTGCTGCGACATCCCCCCAGTCCTGGCGCTCTCCTGCTCTGACACCAGCATCAGTGAGGTTGTGCTGTTTGCATCCATGTGCTACATTGTAGTGAGCAGCTTTGTGATCATCCTCCTCTCCTACATCTGTATCATCTCCAGCATCTTGCAGATCCGCTCCGCCGAGGGCCGGCGCAAAGCCTTCTCCACCTGCACTTTCCACTTGGTCACGGTGGCTATATTCCATGGCACTCTGTTCTTCATATATTTACGTCCCACCTCCAGCTATTCCTTGGACACGGACAAAATTGCCTCAGTGTTTTACACAGCAGTGATCCCCATGTTGAACCCCCTCATCTACAGCCTGAGGAACACAGAGGTGAAACACGCCCTGAACAAAGCAAGGAATAAACTCCTAAGCCGGCTGTGAATATTTTTTCACTGAGTTCTAATTTAGTGACAAGTTGAGGAAAACCAGGCCAATTCAATTCCGAGCCCATTGTAATGTCATTTTGCAGGGTGCATAGCAGTTGTGCTCATTAGTGTGTTGTTCTTCTTATGTATTTATTTGTATACCAAAAAGGCCTGCTGGCCCCAATCGAAATCAAGACTTCCTTAGGCTCTTACCCCACCAAAATTCAAGGAGGCACCTGGATGATATGTCTAAGTATATATGTGATGTGGTTGGATGCATGGAGTTGTTTGTATTGGGAAAGAAGAAGGCAGCATCAAATGTAGCTCCCTCTTTTTTTGTAGCTGGTTTGGTTTCATCATGTTATTGCAAATATGAAGTGTGTGATTTCCGTAGCTGAAACACCGGGGCTACGTCTACATCGGGGCTACGTCAAAGTAGGAATAAGACCCTCCGGAAAAGGGCACTTTTTCCGGAGGATCGGGGCCAGTGTAGACGCTCTTTTCCGGCTTTTTTAAAAGCCGGAAAAAAGCGGCGGACATTTTTATTTAAATGCCGCGGGGGATATTTAAATCCCCCGCGGATTTCCCTACGACGACTGGTGAAATTTACATGCCCCTTCCGGAAAAGGGGCCAGTGTAGACGTAGCCCAGGAGTTCAGCACATCCTCCTGCTATCCTGCAGCCCTTCTTGTGCTCCATCAGGTCATGGTGGAGATTGTCACATGGTTTCTCTCCATGCACTAGGAGGGGAACGGAGATGTCAGTCACAATGGGCTTTATTTTGAGTTAAGGGGACAACAAAGGAAGTAAGAGCAAGGGCAACGTTTCCAAGACAAATTGTTGTGTCTTTGCTTTCTCTTTGACAGTCCTCACTCAACTAAATCCAAACTAGCACAGAGAAGGGAAGTTTTCTCTCCCTTTTTATAAAAATATAAATCATGACAAACAGTTTGTCCATCATCAGCAAGTTCACTGGGGTTCTTGCTTTTACTTCGGTTGGAAAGATTCATAGACTCTGAGGGTGTCTCTAGACCACGGGTTCTCAACCGTGGGCCATATGGCTGCCCAGGGGCCACACCCTACCTCTAGGGTGCCACATGGAAAAAACGGAACATTAGGTAAATTATGTACCTTTTTTTTCAACTAACAGTGGCTATGAGAGGGGCCACAGAGGTAAACGAGGCTCAGAAGGAGGCCATGAGCAAAAAAAAAAGTTTGAGAAACACTGGTCTAGAAAAAAAGTGGCGTTTTTTCGAAAAATCTTTACCTGCATCTAGACTACCACCGCATTCTGTCGCCAATCAATTGAAAGAATGCAGAGGTTTTTTTTGACCGCGGTAAACCTCATTTTACAGGGAAGAACGCCTTTTTTTAAAACAAAATATAGGACTATGTAGCACTTTAAAGACTAACAAGATGGGCTTTCGTGGGTCAGACCCACTTCCTCAGATCAAATAGTGGAAGAAAATAGTCACAACCATATATACCAAAGGCCCTAATTACATGCATCCTACTCCAGAAGACTTTCAAATCTGCACTTGAAAGGGAATCCTCTGAACTGTCATTTATGTTAAAATTCGACACTTAATGGTATTAGAGGTGATAATTGGGGAAGCTATCTTTGTAATGGGTAAGATAGTTAGTGTCTTTGTTGAGATCGACACGTAGAGTGTCGAATTTTAGCATGAATGACAGTTCATAGGATTCCCTTTCAAGTGCAGATTTAAAAGGCTCTTTCAAAAAGAGGCGCTATGTAATGCACACTGTGCTTTTTTGAAAGAGAGCATCTGGACTGCCTGGGTGCTCTCTTTTGAAAAAGTGGCTTGCTTTTTCGAAAGAACTGGTTGTAGTCTAGGCGCTCTTTTTCAAAAGAGGCTTTTTCGAAAGATAATTTCGAAAAAGCTTCTTTCGAAAGAGGCTTGCAGTCTGGACATAGCCTAGCTTGGTTCATTTCTCTCTCTCAGTCTCATGAGCTGTACAATTCCCATGATCCCTGCTCCTCAGGCTAAAAGCCTATTTTCTGAGTTCATAGGGGCCCAGAAAATGTTCATCTCAAACTGATCCATCTCTTAAAAGGCCCTAAACCAGGCATGTCCAAAGTCCGACCCGCGGGCCAATTGCAGCCCGTGTTCCAGTTTCGGGTAATTTGGCAATATCTATCTTTTATGGCCCCCAATGAATCCATATGTATTGAGATGAATACATTGTAAAATCTCAGTTAAAGTCAGTTGGTCTAAATCAGTTATAAATATATTTGGACACAACATGTATACTTGGTGTTATGTTCCTGTTCATATTTTTTGAACTTAAAAGTTGACAGACAACCTTTATTACCAATAATATGTAATGTACTTTACAATGTTCCTGACATATATTTCAGCTTCCTGGATTTTTTTTTTCATCTGGCCTTCAGATATGAAAGGCAGAGTGATTTAACACCTGTTTAGATTTGTCATCCATGTGACGAAATGAAAAGTATGCCGTTTGCAATAAACTTTGCATAAAATAGTTAATTTGCATTTAATTTTAATGGTTCAAAGAATGTCAGGCAAAATGGTCGGCCCTCATGCATGTTCACTTCATCAAATCTGGCCCTCTTTGAAAAAAGTTTGGACACCCCTGCCCTAAACTTTTGGCAAATTGAACCATTGATGGAAATCTTCACTGGGGTTAAAGGAAACATTTTGCACAATCAGAAATGGGACATTTCTTTTCCTTCCTGTGTAACTTACAGGAAATGGCAATGAAGGGCGAGACTGACAAGATGGATGGGACTGGAAGAGGCAGTTACGATGTTGCTTCTCTTGTAACCTTTAATCCAGGGATTGGAGAATTCCCATGGGAGGTGCCAGTGGACCCTCAAAACTTTTAGACATGGTGATCTTAGCTAGTATGGGAAACTTCAATATATTGATAAGATGATCTAGTATTGCTGATGATTTATAGTAAAGGTGGTTAGGTATTTCATTCCTGAGCTGCTGTATAATTCAATTCAATATAAGTACAATATGAAATATAATGACCATTTCTTTTAGCATCTTTGTCTTTTCTTCATTCAATGAGGAAAAAATTAAAGTTATTCCTTTAAGAATGTAGGAATTATTTGAAATATAAAAAAACCCTGCTAGTCTGTACAATGTGTAGCCTCTTCATCTCATTACAACTTTCTGGAAGCAGCATTTTCAAAAGCAGTCACTAATTCAGCGTGCCTATGGAACGAGTATGAAAATGTGGGTCTTAAATTTGTTCTGCCTCCATTTGCCCATCTCTGAATGGTAGCAATAATACTTGTCTGTTTTATAACAGGGTGGATAACATTTCATAGATCCCTGTATAGGCCTCCTCAATGAGCTAACTCTGAGCACCTCAAAATGTATATTGAATTGATTGTCATAACTTCCACATTAGCTAGTGTGGTATTGTCTACATTATACTGGTGCAGAGCTGAGACACAGAGAAAGTAAATATCTTCCTCAAAGGTTCCATAAGAGGTCTGGGAACTAAGCCTCAAATTACAAAAAGCTTTCCTTCGCATGATAGTAAAGGGATAGTGGTGTAACACCTATGTGTAAAAGTAGCAACACAGTCCCTCATGCTATACATAATGCTCATAATCCGCTGATCATCATTGTCATGGTAATTGTACGGGGAAGCATTGTATATCAAATGATAAGATTCTACCGTATAACATTACTGAGCCACTGTGAGTTTTAAAAAGTAGGGGCAAAGCAGTTCCTCAGGGTATGTGTACACTACAGCACTAATTCGAACTAACTTAATTCGAATTAGTTAATTTGAACTAAGCTAATTCGAATTAGTGCATCTAGACCTAAAAACTAATTTGAATTAGTGTTTTGCTAATTCGAAATAGCATGTCCACACTGAGTGGACCCTGAACTGAAGTTAAGGCTGGCCAGAACCAGTGCTGACAGGGCATCAGGTTAGGACTTAGAGTGTGGAGCTGCTGCTTCAGGCTAGCCGAGGGCTGTGCTTAAAGGGACCCGACCCCCACCTTGGACAGACAGTTCTCAGGGTTCCCCGCTTGCTTGTCTAACTCGATGAGGGACAGCAAAGCAGTCCTATCTTGGAGTGGAGTGCCCTGAATGCCCACACTCGGCACATCACAGCACTCGGCCATCAGCCCGGCTGCACTTGCCGCAGGCTGCCATCCGGGGAGGCCAATCGGGGGGCTGTAGAAGAGTTTCCACCCTGAGGAGCCCTCAGAGCCATCCCAGTCCTCCCCATCGGGGGCTTGTACCCCATTCCTCCCTCTCCTCCTTCCACTTACCCCTCCCTAGCCCCCCTTTCTGATGTAAAAAATAAAGGACACGTGTTCAAAAATAGAAACTTTAACAAAACTGGGGGGGAGATTAACCTCCGGGGAGACTGGGAAAAGGAGGTGGGAGAGGGGAACAGAGAGGGTGCGAGAGGGGAGGGGGAAACCTGGGAGGAGGGAGCGGGAAGGGGAAAGCCAGGGGAAAAAGGAGGAGGGGAAGTATAAAACTATGGAACGCCATATCTTCAGTACTGTGTACAGATGTGGTCTCCTCACCTCAAAAAACATATTTTGGCCTTGGAAAGGGTTCAGAAAAGGGCAACTAAAATGATTAGGGGTTTGGAACAGGTCCCATGTGAAGAGAGGCTAAAGAGACTGGGACTTTTCAGCTTAGAAAAGAGGAGACCGAGGGGGGATATGATAGAGGTATATAAAATCATGAGTGGTGTGGAGAGGGTGAATAAAGAAAAGTTCTTCATTAGTTCCCATAATATAAGGACAAGAATACACCAAATGAAATTAATGGGCAGCAGGTTTAAAACTAATAAGCAAAAGTTCTTCTTTACACAGCACATAGTCAACCTGTGGAACTCCTTGTCACAGGAGACTGTGAAGGCTAGAACTATAAGGGTATGTCTACACTACCCTCCTTGTTCGAACTAGGAGGGTAATGTAGGCATACCGCACTTGCAAATGAAGCCCGGGATTTGAGTTTAAAGAGAAGTTAGATAAATTCATAGAGGTTAGGTCCATGGAGTGCTATTAGCCAGGGGGTAGGAATGCTGGCCCTGGCCTCTGTTTGTGGAAGGCTGAAGGTGGATGGCACGAGACAAATCGCTTGGTCATTGTCTTCGGTCCATCCCCTCCGGGGTACCTGGTGCTGGCCACTGTTGGCTAGATGGACCTTCGGTCTGACCCAGTATGGCCATTCTTATGTTCTTATGTTCTAAGCTCAGGGTCGGGGGTCTCACTGGACCAACTTGATTTTCATGCAAACCTGCTCTTAGGTTTGCATGTGGCCTTTGGTGGCCAGGCTGGCAGCTATCCTGCCCTAGACAGCCACATTCCTGTGCCTAGTGCGGAGAATGAGGTTTACCTCATTCGAATTAAGCGCGCTGCTAATTTGATTTAAATTCAAACTAGCGGTTTGCCTGTGTAGCCCCTATTAAAGTTAATTTGAACTAATGGCTGTTAGTTCGAATTAATTTGTAGTGTAGACATACCCTCAGAGACAAAAAAATTGATGCCTCAGCCAGGGTTCAATCAAATCAATGATAGCTCACCTGGTTAAGGGATCATTCTTAGGCAGAAAGAAGGGTATTAGTGGGAAATTTACATTTCGACATAGAGCTGGGAACAGAGTGCCTGACATCTAAGGTGTTTACAAGAGTTGCCCAAAAATTCCCATTTGGGGAGTAGTAGTTTTAAAAGCAGACCCCAACTCTTAAATTCAGGGCTCTCACACTCTTTACAATGGGTAGGTTTTGGGTAGGTGTGATTCTGAGCTAAGATACAGCAGTGGGAATCCAGATTAACTCTACTGACATCGTTAGTATTCCTTGGAGTTATACCAGTGTAACTGAGAGAAGAATTTAGTCAAAGCTTTCTAGACCGATGCTGGGAAATTACTTAGGGAGACATTTGGAGAGGTACCCCACACACAAAGTGAAATAGCTCTACTCAATACCAGCTCAAACTAAACACAGAAGGATGAAATGTATCCCTAAACTCTGTATCTCTGATAGAACTTGCATCATTTAATAGCATGGGAGAAAAGAGTGCGCCAAATTAATCCCAAGGGTAGGATGTACACCAAAGGTTTCTTTGGTTCTCTGAGCTCATTAATGAAATGTCCTTTTGCGCTCAGGTATTCCCTATTGTTTCCGGGAGCACGTCCCATAGATCACAAATCTCAGTATAAAACTTCCTGAATTCTCCAAACCATCAGTTTCTGTCAATGGGGAAACCCCACCACATCTCCCTCTTCTCAGCAGGTACGTGCTGTTGTCCTGCATCACGGCCATACTCACGTACAGACACCATGGAGACTGGCAGGTACACAACTCTAGACCTCCCGCACTAAAACCTCCCCCAAGCTCATACCCAGGGAGCCAACAGAATGAGTGATTTGGTTGGAAAACACAGGAAATTACATAGTTGCTGAAGCCAGAGCCCTTTATTAGGTGTTTGGGTTTTTATACAGACTAATGTAGCAGATGCTGGAAAGCTTAATGAGCACAATAAGAAAGAGTTATTCCAAACCTGCATGCTGAGCCACAGAGCGCACCTTGCCTCAAAAGGGAAGAGAGTTTTCCGCTTGTTTACGCTCCCCCCTTCTGTATTCTTGTCAGACAGATGGTTTTCACCCCGATTCTTTCACAGCAGAGTCACGAGTCACCATCTGCTGCTTGGAATCATGAAAAGGACAGTTTGTGTGTAGGGCGTAATTAACCTGTATGTCCTTGGTTTTGTACAGTGTCTGCATTGTATGGAACACCTGGAATGGCAACCTGTGGACACCTGGTTCTGTGGACCAAGCCCTTGCTTGAGCCGGTACTGGTGCCCATTAAGAAACTGATCTTCATTTCTCTTCACTTACTTTGGTACAGAGAAGGGATAAGTTTCTTTCTTCAGCCACCTGCTCACCTCACTGTAGCTGCCTGATCTCGGCTCAGAGGAGATGGAAGAGGGAAATCACTCGGAGGCGACTGAGTTCATTCTCTCAGGACTGACAGATCGCCCGGAGCTGCAGGTCCCCCTGTTTGTGTTGTTCCTACTGATTTATGTTGTCACCCTGGTAGGTAATGGGGGGATGATCTTATTAATCATGATTGATCCCCGACTCCACACCCCCATGTACTTTTTCCTCGGTAATTTGTCTTTCTGTGATTTCTGCTATTCCACAGTAATTTCCCCCAAGATGCTGCTGGATTTCTTAGCCGAGAGGAAAAGCATTTCTCATGCTGCCTGTGCTGTGCAAATGTATTTTGTCATTTTTTTTCAAGATATTGAGTGTCTCTTGTTGGCTGTGATGGCGTACGACCGTTATGTGGCCATTTCTAAACCCCTGCTCTATATGATCACCATGTCCCGGCAGCGCTGTAACCAGCTGGTGGCTGGAGTCTGTGCTGTGGGGCTGCTGGATGCAATGATACTCATGTATTTTACATTCCGGCTGTCATTCTGCCATTCCATCATCATCAATCATTTCTGCTGTGACATGCCCCCATTGCTGGCGCTCTCCTGCTCTGACACCCGCATAAGTGAGATTGTGATGTTTGCCTCCATGTGCTACATTGTAGTGAGCAGCGTTGTGACCGTCCTCCTCTCCTATGTCTGTATCTTCTTCACCATCCTGCGGATCCGCTCTGCCGACGGCCGGCGCAAAGCCTTCTCCACCTGCACTTGCCACTTGACGGCGGTGGTCATGTTTCATGGCACCCTCCTCTTTATGTATTTCCGACCCACCTCTAGCTATTCTATGGACACTGACAAAATAGCCTCGGTGTTCTACACGCTGGTGATCCCCTTGTTGAACCCCCTGATCTACAGCCTCAGGAACACGGAGGTGAAGCGCGCCTTGAACAATGTGAGGAATAAACTCGTAACCCGTTTCTGAATCTTGTTAACTCAGTACCTAGCGATGGGGAGTGGATTCATTTCCCAGGCCATTTTAATGTCACTTTGTAGAGCCCGTGGTAGCATTGCTCATTACTACATTGATATTATTATTTGTTTGTTCATATTCCAAAAGTGCCCGCAAGCCCCCTCTGAGATAGGACATCATGAGGCTGTTGCCCCAGAAAAATTCAAGGAGGCTCCTGTTTCACATGTGTGTAAACATACATGTGACGTGCTTTGAAAGCATGGAAGTATTTCTATTGGGAAAGAAGAGCAGGGTATGAAATCTGTCTCCCTCTTCTTCGTAAGGGGTTGGCTTCATTATGTAGTTG